TTCTGGTTAGCAGTCAAGTGCCTTAGGCACTATGCTACCAGAGCTCCTCAGAAACCCAAGGAGGGGCTGCAATGAGTCAGATCCAACTCAAGGGCAGTGAGCTTGATTTTGCTTTTTCCACCTTTAGGGGTCCTTTATAGATGAGAAAAAAGGCTTTTAAAAGAGGACTTTAAAACAAACACCAGCCTCACACAATGTTGTTAATGTGACGTCTACTTGACCCCTTCACAACAGCTAATACACAGTAACCTCACAAGCATTTGTTCAATGAATGAATAGTGAACGAATGAATGAATGAATTCTCATCTTTCTCAACTTGAGGAAGGAGACTTCCCTCCCCCAAGAACCATATGAAAGAAAAGGAGAAAGGACCAGTTCAATTTGACTGCTAACCAAAAGGTCCCACCAGCTGCTTTGAGGAAGACAGAGATGAGTACTGCTTCAGTAAAGATTTATAGCCTTGGAAACCCTATGGGGCAGTTCTACTCTGTCATATAGGGTCGCTGTGAGTGGGAGTCCACTCGATGACAGTGGGTTTGTTTTTGGGAGTTTAGGATTCTTTTACTCGGTAAAAATAAAATTTAAAGAAAAATTTCAGGACCCTCAGAAGCTCTCCAGGAGAGTGGTTTCCCCATCCTCGGGGCATGAGTAAGCGCCCAATAGTCTAGGGCATCGCCAAGATTGATTTCAAACCCAGGACTTCACAGGCCAAACCTGCCATTTTCAGTTTATCTTTCTCCGCTGCAGAAAAAGTAAAGCCCTGCGGGGGCCCCAGCGTATCTGGGAATTTAGGGCGAAAGGGCTGGCAAAAGAGGGGAGGCCCGGGACCTTAGAAAGAGCCCTTGGCCTCTGGAGTAGGAGATGCTGACCCAGCTGCGCCGCGCGCTCTCCTGCCGGGCTTTCGGCACTTGGCTCAGGCCTTGCGCCTCCCTCAGTTCCCTCCTCCGCCCCCCTTCGCCCTCCCCCTTCTCTTCATTTCTCCTCCCCCTCCTGCCGCCGCGGCTGCTGCCAGACCTCACCAGTTCAGACCCACCGGGCTGCTCTCCCCTGCGCACTCCCCTTGCTGCCTGGGCCGGGAGCGCTGCGTGGCTGCGCAGGTAGGAGCCCCCAGCGCAGAGGGCTCAAAGAGTGTGTCAAGTGTCCGCGAATCTGCGTGTTTGGGGGTAAGGTGGGGTAATCTGGAAGGGCCCAGGACAGCGCGTATCCGAGAACCGGGACCTTCCCTGGACTGTGCGGGGTCTCTAGCAGAGAGGGAGGTAAAGGTGCGTAATCTCGGAATGCAGTCTGTCGACCTGTGAGAGTACCCGGGTGACATCTGTTGGGATGCGCATGTATGAGCGCGCCGATAACCAGTTGGCGTGACTTTGACCACAAACGTGGTTTTGAAAGTTTCAGGCCACCGTTGTGAGAGGTTTAAAACGCACCTGGATTCCGCAGGAGCTGGTTAGTAGCTGGAGCGCTGAGTAACTTCTGGAGACTGCTGCCTGTTGACTTACATTGAGAAAGGGAACCTCACCTCCCTGCGAACGCCAGGCTGGCCGCCGGGAAACTGGTACCCTGGACTACGGTGCGGTCCCTTGTGATCCAACTCCAGGCAGCCCCTAGCCAGGAGTGTAGTATGAGGGGCTGAAAAGGCCAAAGAGAATCAGGCACTTTGAGCTACTCTTCGGAACAACCTGAGATTTTTAAACAAAGCTGCACTCGGAGAACAGCGTGCAATTGTCTCTTTGAGAGTGTGTGCTGGGGGTCTGTGAGAGTGAGCTCCTAGGGGGGCAGGTACTAAAACTGGGAGGAGATTGCTCTTCAGGTTTGTTGGTGTTTTAACAAAAGTTTGATGGCAAGGTAATGCATATTGGTTTGCAGGTATTTCTGCTGAGCTGTGCAAAGAACTTAACTAGCTGGATGTGAGGACATAGGGAGAGCTTTAACTTGGAAGGAGGTACAAGATTTGCTGCCCCACTTCTACTCCTAAAAGAAAAAAGAAGAAAAAAAAAAAGCACTGTTCCTTTGAAATTGATTACCTTCTACCTAAGCTTTGCCTCCCACCCCCTTTCTGGAGCCTGCTGTGTAGGTGCAGTATAAAATGCACTCTTTTGAATGTCCTTTATATATTTTGAGCGCAACCGGATGGAGTAAAATGAAATGCAATTCTGCAGCTTTTATAGTCTCGTGCCTGGTTTGGCAACCGGGAAGGTTGAGGAGGGGGAGGGGAGCAGATTGGAAGTTGCGGACGGGGAACCTCAGCCTCCCCAGGTCTGCCTCCCTTGCTTGTTACTTCACAGCTAAAGCTTTGTTATTTCCCCCGAAGCAGATGCTAAGCATCGGTTTGTCCTGTGTTTTCTTTGAGATTCACAATGTTGAGAACCCTTTTCCTGATTATGCTGACTCTGGCGCTGGCCAAGTCACAGGACACCGAAGAAACCATCACGTACACGGTAAGGGGTGATGGAATTTGAGATAAGTGAGGTTCAGTGGGATTCTGTGACACAAGAGAGGCTTTACCCACCCCTGCCAGTGTATATGGGCTGTACTCTGTGGAGGGTAATAAATTAAACAGCGCGTGAGCATGGCTCTTGTTTAGAATTCATTGTAAATTGCCCGTGGTCCTTTCTAAAGTTCATTTAGATCACCAATTGAGATAGGGACCAAAATATAATGGTTTGTGCAAAAAAGGGAACTCTTTTAAAACTAAAACCAAAGTAAGCTGCATGTTCCCAATACATTCAATAAACTTGTGGATATGAGAAATGAGAAAGCCTGGATTCCTATATGCATGCAGATGAAACCAAAACTTGTCTACTAAGACTGAAGTAAATGAAGAATGTTAGACATCATAACAGCACATTTACTGATTTGTGCATGTGACTATGTTCTCATGTAAGCATCTTTACTGATTTGTAAAAGCTGTATACTCATTTATAGTGTAACTGATAACTTAATAAATGCCTCTCAAATAGACTATTCATTTGCTAACGTGGTTTTAAAATGCAGTGAGTAGACTTCTGGTAGCAGCATAGTGCCTAAGGCACTTGATTGCTAACCAGAAGGCTGGCAGTTCAAACCCACCAGCCACTCCTCAGAAGGAAGGTTGGACAATCTACTTCCATAGTGATACTGCCTCGGCAGCCCAAGGAGGAGTCACTATGAGTTGGGGCGACTCTGTGGCACACAACAACAAGTAGCACATATGACACCTCCAAGTAATAATTGATTAATCAATTATTTGCATGGGCCAAGCCAATGTTTCATAAAATATTGGCAATATCACCTGACCCCTCCCACTACCAGGAATGGGTGTGGTGAGAACAGAGGAGAGCAGAATTTACTTCACTGTTGGTGAGTTTGTTTGTGCCTCAGTTTTGTGTTTTAACCTAGTCTTTAATCAGTGTTGTGAGGCAAATGACATTTGTCCTGCATTCAGATATGAAAAACACATTTTTCTAGTTGCTCTCAATTTAAAATTAAGTAATCCTACTCTAAAGAATGTGAATTTTTTTTGCAATAAAATTCTTAAAAGTGAGCTAATGTCAATTACTGATAACAAACATTATCTCATTTTTTGATATCACATTATCCATAGGATGTTAATATTCATCTGGCAGATGCCCCTTGATGTTGTTCAGATGCACCATAAATTAAATAGAGCTTATGTAAATATTTTGTTAAGTTAACATTAAATGTAGTTGCTTCCTCTGCTGAAGATAAATAAAGCAAGAGAAATAAATACATGTGTTGTTTATTTTCAAATGAAAATATTTTGTTATTCAGGCTAAACTTAACTACCTTCTTCAGGGAGCTAAAATTAAATAAGCTAACCACTTGGAGCTCTGGTGGTGTAGTTTCTAAGGCATTTGACAGCTAACCAGAAGGCTGGCAGTTCAAATCCACCAGCCACTTGTTGGAAGGAAGGTTGGGCAATCTACTTCCTTCTCAGAAACCCACGGGAGGGGTTGCTATGAGTCGCAGTGGACTCAACAGCAGTGAGTTTGTTTGTTTGTTTTTAACCACTTGTAGAATCATGTAATAGAAGGTTTTATTGCTTTTACAATCCTTATCTCATACCTCCTTGCCTTTGCTAATCACCTAGATCTTACCCATCTTTAGCAGAAAAGTTCCCTGATGATTAAACACTGTAATTTTAAGACTACACATGGGTTCACAGATTTTCCAGACATGATACCCTTTTTGGCCTAAGATTAGATGTATTCTTTTTTAATTGTGTATGCCTAGTAATTCATGGGTAAAGGATAAGAGGTAACTATTTATTGGGTCCCACACTGTGGAGACACTACTTCGTTTCATCCTCACAGCAAAGTATGAGGTAAGTGGCATCATTTTCCTTCTGTTACTAGTAGAACTAAAGATCAGATAGGTTATCTATTTGCTTAAGGCTACCCAGCTAACCAACAGTGTAGCTAAACAACTAAATTCAGTGTACCTTTGTTTAACAGTCAATCCACACTGAATGTACTGGAACTAAATGCTAAAACTAACTGCATGTCTTCTCTATTTACCATGCAAATTATTCAAGTGAACTGCCATTTTTCCTGTTTTGAAAGATTCTTTTCAGAAGGATGGCTCATATCCACAAGATAGCCCCAAATTCCCCATCTGCATTAAAGATAGGGTCCATTCAGGTATTTACTCGCCAAGTGTCTGTGGTGTACATAAGCAACTCTTAGCACTATCGAAAGAATTCAAGCTTATTTGTTCACTGAGAAAATTCGACTCTTAACCTCAGGGAATTTACCCTGAAAAGACATTGTTGAAGACGATAAAGTTCCTAAGCAAGTACTAATAACATTATTATTCAGATTATATAAATTGCTAAAGAATTAGAAAAGCAAGGAGATGATCGGTGTCAGGACTGGTGCACTGGAGGAGATGGAACTTTGTGCTGGTGCTTAAAGGAAGTAATGACCTTGGATTAACCCAGAGAAGCTGAGGAGGCACCTGAGTCAGAGGGAGTAGCATAATCCAAGGCTGGAAGTGGAAACAACCAAGACAAAGTCTAGGAGGTAATAAGGCCAGATTGACTGGAGCTAGGTACTGGGGACAACCTAGCTAGCTATGGTGATAAAGGGAGATGAGAGGTCTGCAGGCCATTGTGGGTTCTTAGATGGAAAAGCGACATAAACAAGAGAGGAAGAGAGATTGTGATGGAGGCTATGAACAGAATGCAGAGATAAGGAGACCAGCAAAGAAATTTTCCCTACTCGTGGGGCCAGAAGGGTTTACACCAATGTGGTATATATGGAGTGAACTGAAAGTCAGCAGAACTTAAAGTAAAATAATTGGAAAAATCAGCGCTAATGTTAAAATTGTAACTCTAGGTCCCAAGAAAAGTGTTCTTTCCTTGGATAGTGTTGGGGAAACAAGAAAGAACTAGTTTGGGAGATAAAAATGAGTTCAGTTTTCATCAGGTTAAGTGTCAGATATCAGTAAAGCATGTGGACTGATCTCATTGTCTCCATTTAGCCTTTTACTGATCAAGCATCTGTAGTGTGCCAAAGTAACTTGGCTCTATCAAAAGAATTCCAGTTTATTTGTTTACTTGTTTATTCAACTTTTGCTCAGTCCTTCCAAAGCATCTTCCTTACAGTGAACTTTCTCACATGCATATCTGATCGAGTTTTTTGTCCTGAGCTTAAAATTTCTTCAGTGGCCTATTACCAACTACAGCAATACTTCTCAAAAGGTTGCCCACCGTGCTTATATTAGAATCGTCTGGAGTGTGTTTATATAGGATTTCAGATTACCAAACCCCCTACCCACCTACAGAATTGGATCTTTTGGGTAAGCCCGGGAATCTACATTTTAACAAGCACACTGAGAAGTGTGATTCTTAGACATAATAAAGCTTGCGAATCATTGTTCTTCAGGGTAGTATCCAGTTCTTCCTTGTTCAAAAAAAAAAAAAAAAGACCTCCCTGGATTTGGCCCTGCCCACTTCTCTAACCTCAACCCCCACCCTACCACACTAAAATGTCTGAAGCTGGCTCCTTCTTTAACAACTTTATACCTTTAATCACCATGGTCCTTCTTCCTGGAATTCCCACATCTACCTGGAAAAATCCTTGGGAGCTCTGGTAGCATAGTGGCTAAGGCACTTGACTGCTAACCAGAAGGCTGGTGGTTCAAATCCACCAGCCACTCCTCGGAAGGAAGGTGGGGCAATCTACTTCCGTAGTGATACTGCCTCGGAAACCCAAGGAGGGGTCGCTATGAGTCGGGGCCGACTCGACGGCAAATAACAACAACAACAACAACAACCTGGAAAAATCTGCTTATCCTGCAAGGCCCAATTCACTTGTCATCTCCTTCCCCTCCACTACGACAGGGTCACCCCAGTCCCAGACAGAGTCCATCACTCAGTCCGTATACATAGTTGTGTCATGACATACGATGTCTTGCTCCAACTTGTCTACCTGTCTATATCCTCTCCTGGTCTGTGCTTGAGGACAGGAAAAGGTCTTCACTATTTGTGTATCCCCAGAGCCTAGGGTGGTGTCTGGCATGAGGAGATAATCAGTAGATGGTTCATTTGGTGCTCAAACCAGATGAGATCTGTAGGAACTGACGCTAGGAGGCAGGCCAGGGTGTGAAAGAGAAGTGCGAGGCTCAGCTGAACAGGAATGGTAAGGAAAGCCATGCTCTTGAATACTCTAATAAGATTTAGAGAGAGGACAAGAGTCAAGGGTTGAAAAAAGGAATTTAGTGTAATTTTGGGGGGCAAAATTTACCATGTAGAAAAAGGGCAAGTAGACACAGAGAGAAATGAATTCTAAGACAATAGAGATGGGCAACTGCACCAAACACAAGAGGAGTGCTGAGTGCTGAGGCAGTTCTGATTGAGAAGGCACACTTGTCAAGTGCACAGACATGACATTAAAAAACAGACAGACAGTGTTAAACTGCGCATCTCATCATATATCAAGGGCTCAAGCTCAAGGATTGGTGCCATAGGGAAAAGATTTACCAATTAATGTTTCCTGGCCCCATCTTTGATGTTTTCTTCACAGCAATGTACAGATGGATATGAGTGGGACCCTGTTAGACAGCAGTGCAAAGGTGAGCCACCTTCAGTCTTCCCATTTGAGCATGGCTTTCAATCCTCATCGCATGTGCCACTTTTCCTGTCCTGCTTGCATTATACCAAAACGATGTGAGTATATATTTGCATGCTCAATTTTCCTTCTAAAAAGATGCCTGACTTATCTTATTACTGACCCCAGATATTGATGAATGTGACATCGTCCCAGACGCTTGCAAAGGTGGAATGAAATGTGTCAACCACTATGGAGGATACCTCTGTCTTCCTAAAACAGCCCAGATTATTGTCAATAATGAACAACCTCAGCAAGAAACGCCAGTGGCCCCTGAAACTGTAGGTGCAGCTGCAAATGCAGCCGCCACCTCAGGGACAGTTCCTGGAGGAGTTGCTGCCACAGGCATGGCCACCAGTGGAGTGATGCCCGGGGGTGGTTTTGTCGCAAGTGCTGCTGCAGTCGCAGGCCCTGAAGTGCAGACTAGCCGAAATAACTTTGTCATCCGAAGAAACCCAGCTGACCCTCAGCGCATTCCCTCCAACCCCTCTCACCGCATCCAGTGTGCAGCAGGCTACGAGCAGAGTGAGCACAACGTGTGCCAAGGTAAGCACACTTACTATGCTAACAAGAAAGTTCTTGCCCAAGCACACTTCGTGGTGAGGATGACAATAGCTCGAATTTATCGAGCTCTTTGCACTTGCACGGCATTGTGCTAAGTGCTTTGTCTTGCATTATCATACTTAATCATCACATTCATCCTGAAAGGTAGTTGCTTTTGGCCTCCGTTTGCAAATGAAGAAACTGGCTCAGAGAGTTCATCAGCGATTCTCAGCTTTAGCTGCCCATATTTGGAGGCACTTGGGGAACGTTTAGACTTCTGAATGTCTAAGCCACACCCCAACAGAGTTAAATAACAATTTCTGAGAGTGGGTTCCAGGCACCAGCAGTATTTAAAAAAAAAAAAAAAAAACACCCCTCACAGTTCCAGTGTGCAGCCAAATTGAGAACCAGAGGTTACACAGGTGGGCAGTGCAGAACTAGTCACTGAACCTGGGCAAGCAGAGGTCAGAGTGCAGCTGTAGGAAGTAGCAGTTAGGTTATGCATTTAGAATGTGAAATGATGCTGTCAAGCTACTCTATAAGTGGCCCCCTTTGGCTTCTCAAGCCTTCTTTTCATTGAACTTGCCACTGACTTCTTACTTTCTTCATCCAGGAATAAAGAAATGAGGCTCCTGCCTCTTATTACCTTTTGAGGGTGTCTCCTTCACTCACATTTATCCCTCTTTCAAAGCTCTCATTTGACCACATTTCCCTTCTATCACTTGCACCATGGCACTATCTGCCTGAGTTTTTCTGTTTATTTTCACAAAGAGTACATACACATCACTGTGTATTCTCGCAACAGCTGTAGACTCAAGCTAGCAAAGTGATAAGAATCTCAGGCTTTGAAGACATGTAGGATATTGGCTAACTGGACGGTGCTAAGGGATTTTGTTTCCAGTTTTCTTTTTAGCAAACCCTTTAAAAGCTGCCTAGTACAGAGATTATATTACTGAAATGGAGCCATCGGAGCCCCAGACTCCTTTCTTTACTGCCAGGGGCTGACTAGGTAGACTGCATATTAAGGGCTCCATCTCACTACCACATAAGTACCTGCTACAAGTTGGCTGATAGAAAGGGCCTGGGGCCCTGGTGGTGCACTGGTTAAAGCACTTGACTTCTAACTGAAAGGTTGGCAGTTTGAACTCATCAGCTCATCTGCAGGAGAAAGAGGTGGCAGTCTGCTTCCATAAAGATTACAGCCAAGAAACCCCTGTGGGGCAGTGACACTCTGTCACATGGGGTCGCTATGAGTGAAAATCGCCTCTATGGCACCAACCACTCATTAGTGAAGAAGAGGGCAAGAAAGGAAGGAAGAAGAGGAGGGAGGAAACGTTCCTCCACACTGAGGATTCAATTGAGATCATCTAGCTCTACATTAATGAAAGCAGCATTTCCTGGGCACCTGGGATGCTGTCGTCATTGAGAAATGTTTCATTTTACTTTTTGTGTAAGAGATCCTAGATTATAAATGGCTTATAAAATGAAGTAGGAAACCCACTGTGCTCTGATTTTTATTATTTTATGTTTTGTGTTCAGATTTTAAGTACCCTTACATCAAGAGCAAGCCCATGCTGTGATGGTGTCCCTTTTCAGAGGGCGCATCATATTAGCATCTGTTTTGTATTACTGTCATGAGTCAGAATTCCAATATTGATGATGAATGTTGCAGCATCTGCTTGATGTTCTGATACTTAATTTAAAGATTATGTCAAGGAGATAAAGTGATGAGGTTATAAATATAGATAGATAGATAAAAAATGCCTTGTGTTTATTTGAGACTTTAATTCTGTTATTTAAATACATTCTATATATATAATTGAAAAGTTTGGTGCTGTTTTTCCTAATATGGAAAATTTTGCTGAAATGTTTCTCAAATATTGATTTTTATATACAGAATTACTTTTAGTACTTTAAATGTTGGATATTTTAATGATATTTGGGAAAAAAAATAGATAAATGAGTGAGTCATATCCCAAAGTAGTTTAACGTCCATCATTGATAATTGTGGTTATAGAATAATGCCTAGAACTGAATGAAGAATTTCTAGAATAAAACAAATTCAAGACTTGTAGCATGTATTGATTATGGTAGAAACTATATCTTGAAGAGTGAAAATCAAATCGTACTTAATTTAAGGCTTTAGACTACCTTACAATTACATTATTTTCCACATACTAAAACATTTATAATTCTTCTGTGGATTTTTTTTTTTTTTTTTTTTTTTACTTTTAAGCTAAAACTATTAAACGCCTTGTTCATGGTAGATGTTAAATATGTACTTGTAGTTTGCTTAGACACAGGGTATTTCCAACCCAAACTATTCCTTATAGTCCAACCAACTTCTAAAATTTGGGATTGGGGTCTGTGCCACTGAAAGCAGGTTTAGAAGTTTTTTGGATGATTTAGGCTTAAGTTGGATTTCTTCCCACCTCACAATTTTGCAAAGTGCCCATAAATATGGATTTACTTAATTGTTGATAAAAGGGGGTTATTTCATATGATAACAACAGGATAATCTGTCTAGGGAATCTGACTAATATAAATCGAGTCACACTTGTGCCCGTTTATTATTGAGCTAATCACACTTGCTGTCCAGCTTCTTCTAATTGCCTGCAGATGTATGACATTCTCATTCCAGGCCAGCAGCACAAAATCATGTTTTATAACCAATGTGAAAGTGCAGGGACCTGTGCTTAAAACAATAATGTGCTCTAAAGACCCATATTATTGATATCATTGTGGAGTTTGAGGAGCCTTCTGTTTTCATAAAGATCTCCACTCTCTTTTAAATGCTGCACACTTATGCCCAGTAAACCAAACACATTTACCAGGTTAGCTGGATTGGAGCAAATGAATGCCTGCAGATGAGTCATATTTGTATAAAAATTATTTCTTTTTTCCACATTTATTTTTCAGCAGGTACAGTTTATCATCACATAACCTAAAACCAAGGACATTTTTTGTATGTGTATAAATGCTGAAATCTATAGTGTATTTCAGTCTTAAAATATCTTGTGCTTTTGAATGCCCTGTTCGAAGTCACAGATGGCTACTAATACTTTCAATAATACCATTGTTGTTGTTATGTGCCGTCGAGTCGGACCTGACTCATAGCAACCCCTCCTTGGGTTGTCGAGACAGTACCACTACAGAAGTAGATTGCCCAACCTTCCTTCTGAGGAGTGGCTGGTGGGTTTGAACTGCCAGCCTTCTGGTTAACAGTCAAGTGCCTTAGGCACTATGCTACCAGAGCTCCTAATGATACCATTAGATATTTTTAAGTGTATACTATTTTATAAAAATATCTTTTAACCTGCTGTCCATGCTTTAACAGTTTAATAAAAGCAAGATATGTTTACTCCTTTCCATCTATTTTTCCAGAGTTTTTCAATTTTGTGCAAAACCAAGGGGTTTAAAATGCACCATAATGCCTAAAGATCAAGTCAGAGTAAACAGATTTTTTTCAGGTAACTTGCCAACTGAGGGTTGTGGAAGCCAGACACACTGAGAGTTGCAAATGACAGGTGCTGTCCTTGACAGGTGTAAAGAACCAGAAGATCATTTCAGTATTACAAACCCAGAGTCATGTATACAGTTTTAGAAAGTAATTGTTACTTAGAAATTAATTGTTTCTCCATAAGATGTCATCTGCCTCTGCTGGTAATCATCTGTACCAAGAGGAAGTTGTATGAATGGGAAATATATTATAACCCATTGACATTCACCATTGTTTTCTACATCTTTATTGTGCATCCTCTATGTAACCCTCTTTAAAGCAGATAGAGTTAGAAATTGCTAGTTCAAGCTGAGAAAGGATTTTTTTAATGATATGTAACATTTTAAAAATTTCATTTTTGTAGGGGAAAAAAAAATCATTTGGGAGCTGGCAAGTAAGAGAAAATATCAATTGCCCAGTATAAAGGAATTTGTTCATTTAATTGAACTTTAAAAAAATTAAACATAGAATGTCTTGTATAGTTGGTAGTTAAACTGTTACTAAACTTGATTAGGATTTGCAGGAATCATTACTTACTTGCCAAAGGAACTTCACCATCAAACAATGAACTTGATGTAGATGCTTAATGAACCTGATTAAGTCCCTGCAGAGTGTGGTACCTGGTTTGTGGTCTACAAGGTATAACTGAGCAATGTAAAAACATCCTAGAGTTTCCATTGACCTTTCTTCCTGACCCTGTCCTTGTTTTAAAACTGAAAACCCCTCCTATATCATGGGAAATGTTTTAGTCCCAGGCAACAGTGATGGTTGGTCACCCCCATGACCAAGTTTCCTGCGCCTGGCAACCAAGAACAAGAAAGTCCCAATGCTTCAACCATGCTATCAGGAGAAAGTCCAGTGAGACTTTTTAAAAAAAAAATTGTTTTGAATTTTTAAAAACAAACTGTATTGCTTTTTAAGTAGTTGGACAGGGTCTTTATTTGCAGTTGTCCAAACCCCCTCTGCTAGTTTATCAGTAGCTGATCACGTTTCCACATTGTTCTAGTCTTAACATATGTAGGATACCTAGACATTAGCACCTACATACTTAGATACATGTCATACCAGAGTTAGCTCATCTTTTAATATGTCTGCTCAGAGAAGTTTCACCACATGGCCAAATTGACATAGACAGGAATCAAGGATAAATATTTCAGTCTGCTAAAAATTTGAATTTTCTTCAATTATTGGCTGTTTTTCATGGATTTTTTTTTTTTTTAATTATTATTAGCTGTGACACAAGGGTAACCAAAAAGCTGGGGGGAAAGGGGAAACTATTTATAAAAACTAAAGGAACAAGTAAATTATACTTAGGGTTGAAAAGTTCTATACTCCTGGGACCATTTATTATCTTCTGCGCATTTCTTTATAAATTGCATATTTACATAAGGATAACTAAACTACTGTTTTGAAAAAGAAAGAAGGTATTATCTATACATATCTACCTTTAAAAAAAAAAAAAGAGAGAAACTTGAACTAACTTGTGCAGCTTCTTAAATGCTAG